TAAAATTCAGATTAGGGTTTGATACTCAAACTAGCTTTCTGTAAAAAAGATTAACTGCATAAGATCATTATTAGAGAGCCAGTGTTTTTCTTTCCGCAGCGTAGATTTCCCCCCAAGTCTCTGCCTCTTTTGGTGTTTGAGAAAGTACTTGGGGTAGAATAAATTCTGTAAACTTTTTCTCTAGACTAAATCCTGTTTGCACCTGCTTCGAGGGGGCGAAGTAAAGAAGGAACTATGACTAATATGGCAACTAATTAGGATTCCGTTTTTTTAGGGCGACTCGGACGTGTAAAATTGTCGGCGAAAGTTGGTCATAATTGGCTGATGTTTGATTATTATTGTAGCAAATGGTTTTTTGTTTCTCGAATGTGATGAGAATGTTTAGTAAAATGTCACCTCGTAATGTTGAAATCTTTGTTGTAATCGCTATGGAACAATCACGATTTTTGTCGCTATAGGCTCCAAATAGGGTCTTGATATTCCTTGCCACTCAATTTTTTTTCGGATAGAAAAAATTGGAGGAGCTTTTTTCGCCTTTTTCGCTTGTACTTTTCGAAAGATCTTGCAACGAAATGTGAGAAGTGGTAATTCGCTTCATGCCAAGATATATTAACTTTTACACATAGGCGTTTATCGTGCTTCGGTATATACCTTTGTTATACCAAATAAATGTTTCTCGTCTTCTGCCTTTCCCGTGTTGCCTAGAGTTCACCGGAGAGAATAAGTCTCTTAAATCTTTCATCGGATTTATCTTCAAAGCGAGTGCAATTTCAGTTATAAAGTTATAAAGTTGAAATTTCTCTAGACGCTGTGTTATAGGACATTAAATGCTAAAGATTTTCGTTAAATGCTGGGCTCGTATGACATCACAGCAGTGAAGTAGGTCGGGAATAATCTTCATGAGAGTCGGTTTTCACAATCTAAATTTTAAACCACGCACTACGTATCTCTTGAGACCGATCTTTGTTTTAAAAATGGTGTAACTCAAATAGTGTAACTGTTCTTTTCAAGGGTATATCCTTTTCTAGCGCAATTTTCGTATGCTTTGGTACTATGCGTGGCTTAATGTACGACTTACGACATGAAGCACTTGCTGGTCGATCAATGTATTCGTCCCTGAAACGTGCCAGTTGCGATGGCCTTATGCAGCTTGCTTCAGCCTAATGTCTAATCTTGCGGTGGTTTGGTATGCAGTATGGTGTGTTTATAATGGTTGATGGGGAGTTTGATCAAGTCCTGAAGAATTATTTATAGTCCTACGACGCTTTGATTCAACACCGGAAAGTGTTTATGACAGTTAAGAAGAAGCCTGTTTTAGTCCAGATGAAATGATTTGTAGCCCTACGGTGGTTTGCATTTACATCGTCAAGTGTTTTCGTAAAAACCATCTGCTGTTTATAAGGGTTTAATTTTGAGACTTTAATGAAAGCATTCATCCATCTCGTTCGATCTGAAGCTCATTGGTAGCTGAGGATAAATTGGCTCTTTTTCAAAACTAGCATTGGCGCTTTTTAATAGCGACCATTGGTGTTGATCTTTAATACAAAAGGGAGAACTCCTTTGACAGGCAAATTAGGTTTGTTTTTATGATTCACAGTTACAGCGGGATACGCTGTAAAATCGACAACTTACGCCGTAATATCGACAATTTACACTTTAATATCGACATCTTACCTAACTTTTGCGGATACTTGGAAATGAGTTATTACGCAATGAGTTTTCATGGCTTACTTTACACTTTTCTCGCCCAAAATTTGCACCGTGTTTGTCCAATTTTACTCTTTAATTTGTTCTCAGCTTCCCTACCAGATAATTATTCAATAGTCAGTCTCATGAAGGCCTCCTCAACGTTAAAATTCGACAAAATTTGCATATAAAACTAAAAATAAGCGCAAGGAACGGTTTTATTTGAATACTTGAGGGCGTAAGTCGCAGTTTTACTCTATCGTTGTGTATTCTTGTGATCACACATATCAGAGTCAGCAGTCAGGTATCTTTAATCGCGTACACAGCATTTCTCTGTTTTTCTCTCATTTATCCCTTGCTCTACTGAAAAAAGGAGGAAAAAGGGAATTTGAATTTGAGAATTTAACTCGTGCATCTGGTACAGAGTAAAAAACAGTTTGAAAGACTCAGATGGTTGCCAAAGTCATGCGTCTGTGTTGCTCTTGGCAACAAATGGCCGAGGGGCCTTATCATTCCAGCTGTTGTTTATGAATTAACAAATTTTTGTGCTTAAAATCTCGATGAACTCACGTTGACGTGCGAAATAATTGTTGACTTTAGTTAAGAAGCCTTAAGAAAATCCGATATGTTGTCTGTCAGAAATGCCCCAGCTGTGTACATAGTCTCTCCCACTCATCAAAAAACAGATGGTTGCATAATCATTAGCTCGCCATTGAAATTCTGGTAAATATTATGAATGTTATGAAAGTCATCTAGCGCACGATTAGTGAATAATCAATTCGAACGAACAAAATAAAGAATACACACACATCTGGTACAGTTTCAAGATTATTTCAAGTATTTATTTTCAGCTCCGAAGAAAATCTATACTCAGAAATGTTTGGGACATGTAAAAGCCTCATTTGAGCGCTCCCTGAGGTACTCAACATGTGAGTTTAAGATATTTTTTCCTCGAAAATTTATCAATGTGCGAACAATTTCTGTTATCCAAGTTAATGATGCTTCTTGTGCTTCTTTTCGTCGCTGATTTTCTTTCCTTTCGAGCTCTCTTTCTTGCCCTTCTTAAATTTCATGCATCCGGGAGTTCCACAAGGTGAGCCTGATGGATATGGTGCGGGGTATGGGTAGGGCTGCTGAGGGGGGTAGGGCTGCTGAGGGGGGTAGGGCTGCTGAGGGGGGTAAGGCTGCTGAGGGTATGGCTGCTGAGGATATGGATATTGTGGCTGCTGTGGGTAAGG